TATTTCTTAATTTGTAGGCTTACCGTTTTGTAAACTCATTAGGCTTCACAATGATTCAACTCTAATTAGAAACAAAAAGTATCTTTAAAGAAACAAAAAAAGGCACTAGACTTAAATCTTAAACGTTAGGCACTGTTCATCATTAGTAAAAAAATATCTGTTAAGTTTCAGAGACGCTTATTTCACAAAGTTTTTGAATATTTTTTTCACAAAAAAAAAGTTTTGAATATTTGTATATATTATTTTTTGTAATATATACGTGTTACCAGAAACTTGCAGTTCATCAACAATTTTCTACCAATGTATAATGAGCAGGTAAAGACATACTCTGTTAGTGAAATTGTAAATGTTACATTAACAAATTAATCAATCAAAGCGGCCATTAGAATAATTTTCCTATACTTAAAGTAGTTTATGAGGAAGCGTTAACTATGATATTTTTGTCAAGAGCTAACGATATATGATAATGTTTAGTCGAAGGAATTAACATTAGTTGTCAATAATGTAGCTTAAGGGGGTGTTATTGGTTTGTATATTTTAGTGGATTTGAAAATACAAATACTGTTATTGGTTATATGATTTTAAAATCTATATTCAAATTCACTGTTATTAGTTATATGATTTTAATATAGATTTTAAAATCAAGTGTTATTCAATAATAATGATTTGTTTAAGGATTTGATTTAAAATTGGATTTGAATGGATTTGTGAGTGTTTTTAAGTTAAAAATACAAAAGACCAAATACTGAGGTGAGCCTTGTTATTTTGTTAGATTTCTAATATTGGGTTTTACAATAATTTGTACCCCAAGTTTTATATATGTATTGGCACGTTCCTTCTAATAATTATAACAAGCACTAACAAGTATATATGATACATTCACGTAAAAGTGTGGTAACTATATATATGTTTGATAGTATCATCAAATTATGTGTAAGCAAAAATTCACGTGTATTTTTGAAAGTTATTTTATATTTTCTAATATAGTGATATATCACAAAAAGTATTGGGTGTGTATAATTTTGATCTTGACTTCATATACGTTCTTAGTGGATTGGAAAGTTTGGTTAATGATGTTTTTGAATAGAAAGGTTTTAAAAGTAAAATATTTTAAAAATTGTGGTTAATTGCGGTTTTCCAAAATCATTGTAACTTTTCGGTTTCATATTGGGTTGTTCGATACTATTTGCAAGAGTAATTATTTTCTTTATTTTATTACAAAACTGAATCTATTACAAATTCATTTGACTGATTTATAATAATCCAGTTATTTTGATTTTAAATCTACATCCTTGATTCTAAAATATATTTATTTGATTTCAAAATCAATGGATTTCCCAAAAATTTCAAAATCCAAGAATTCTTTTAAATCCATTATAATACTAGAACCAATAACCCCTACTAAAGATCCTAATTGTGAATCTTCAGTCTATCAAACTCTCTCTTTCCGAACGATTCATACTGATTTTGGATATTTTAATTATCAAAGAAAAAATTGTAGGAGTATCGTATGCACTATGCAGTTGGCAAAATGTAGTTTAGCTTAGGCCTAACTGCCTCAGTTTGCTCTGGCCCATTTGCAAAGTTATTCTCAAACCCAAATACAACAAACCTTTGTTATTTTGTACGGTCCCTATCTTGTAACATAACTATATGTATGTACAAACAAATTGGTATGATACGGACATACGGTATGAGATAAGCAAACGAATGTGACGTATATTATTGTCTTCATTGATTTGTCATTTTTATGTGTATTTGATTGCTTATCCGTAGAGGATGATTCGATTCAACCATTTGAGATCTCAATGCCGGCGCATTGGTGTATTATTTAATTTTTTAAATACATTAGTATAATTTTTCATTTGTCTAGTTGAAATATGAGATGATTGCAAAAGAACAAGCAACTGATCTGACTAGTATCTCACATTTGAATTACATATCATAAGACTTGGCCGCTTATTATATTTTCCGATCGTTACATTTTTCTATAGCCATCGTTTAAACTATTATTCTATGATTGGTGCACTGGTTACTCTGTTATTGCTTACAATAATTTAGACTACATCAAAAAATTGGATTAACTTGAGGTACCTGGAATGAAACCCAACTAATTTCCCAAAATTAAAATACAGCCAACTAACTCGGATTCAAAACCAATGTTTAAAGCTTTGTTCTAAATCAATCTTTGTCATTAGTCTACCACCAATTGGTTCATATTACTAGGAATTGAATCGTAAAGGTTAGTCATAGATTATTGTAACCACTATATAGACTCATAGTGATGTCAAATGAGACTATGCAATATCTATATGGTTAATACCACTATTGATAATAATCAGTGATGTTGTGTAACTACTTAAAAAGTATTGGCGTGTCACTTATGCCCGGCCCTGTGTAACTCACCTGACATTTTTGAACACATCATAATTATTCTAGTCTTTATTAAGATTCAGATAACACAATTTTATCTAAAGAACAGAACAGTTATATACGTTTGTAAGAAAACAAAACATTCCATACAAACGTATTTTTAGGCTCGGACTACGAAAGAAGTTTCGATGTACGTGATAAATGGACCACTAGAACAACGAGTTACGTCGGTCATATATTCGATGATTCATTAATTAATTACTATATGTGTGTGTTACATTGTCACGGATTCTGCACGTCAATAAATACCAATACAAAATAAAAGTAACCGATGACCACTCCCCCTCACATGATTTAATGACGAGATAATGATCTTATGACTCCATTAAAACATACTCATGTCCTGGCAGTTTCTATATATAAAAAATCTTACCCAAATTTTTTAAAATAAAACACAAATAGACATTTTCTAAACAAAGTTGTTGTTTTTTTTTCCTATCTAATGAAATCATTTTTAAAATATTACTAGTTAAGGTGTTAAAAAGAAAAGTATTACTATATCTTGAGTATCTACCAAAAAAAAATTAAAAGTAAATGAATTTCGTTTATCTTACAAACCTACATTTTTTTACTCATAATAATACTTACCATGTTCTTAAAAGATTCTTATTCTAGTTTTTTCACGTTTTCTTAATAAAATACAATAAATTTGCATAGATTTTTGTATTTATTTTATTTCCATAATTTTAAACTAATAAAAAATTAATTAGTGCAACTAAGTTTTTTGAAATTTACAAATAGTAAAACATGCTTTGAAAATATAAAAAATGGATCTTTTAGAAACAATTTTTTTTTCTAGAATATAAGTATATTTTTAAGGAACAGAGGAGTATTTTTTTGGAACACTAACTCATAATAATAAATCAAAATAAAAACAGTCTTCTGAAATCAATGCATCATAAATATTAGCTGTAAAAAATCAACGTAACATTTAGCAAAAAGGATTCATTTACTTCTTGTTTTATGGTCACCAGTGATTACTAAAACATGAAATAAAAGAACCAAATAGAGTAAATAAATACTGATTAATTTTAACAACCTAACTAGCAGCTAATAGAACTGGGCATTTTATCCGTTAAATTTGATTTGATTCGTTATTCATTTTGATTCGAACCGAAAATTCCAGATATCTGTAAACTTCGAATCAAAGTAAATACTAAAAATCAATATCCGTTAAAATCGAAGTAGATCACAAATATTAAAATTTTGAGAAGCGGATATCCGATACGATCCGGAAATATATAAATATATGTATATATTGATTATATTTAAAATTTTAAATTCATAAAATTATATAACTATTATTCTAACACATGATTTTGAACAATTCTATTCACATTATTACTTATATAAATGTATTACATAAGAAAAAAAAATTAAGACAATTATATTTTTTGTTCTTAACTTTTGTGTTATTATAATTGCGACTTAAACTTCAAAAATTACAAAATATGTAAATTCACTAGTTCTTTAGTTTTTATTTTATATATCATGGGAAAAAAAATATTTTTGCACAGCAAATTTATATCAAAATTTTAAGATTATTTGTATTAATCAAAATGGATTAGATGTCCGTAAATATTCATAAATATCACCAAATATCTACTTATTTTCTGGATATCCGTTTTTCCGGATATCCGTATTTTTCCGAAGCAAAGCAAATACCAAAATTAGATATCTGTAACATTCGAAGCAAATCACAAATAGCTTGAAAAATCTGGATATTCGATCCGCGCCCACCCCGCTAAAATATTCTTTTCCCCCACTTTATATTATCTCTATTATTTAATAAATCAATGCACTTTTATTATTTGTTTCTATATTTCTTTTGTAACTGGATTGGATCTGTTCCCTTAACTCATTCACAAGTTTGATAGATATGTAGTTGGATTTATTATACTATTTCGTTAGGTTTGAATAAGTGTTTACAATATGCAACAAAATGCTGTACCTTTCTATATATAATATACTTTCTTGAGAGATCACAATCTTAAAAAATGTATATAGTTCTCGTTGCCAATAACTTATCCCTAGCTAAGAGATTAGTAAATACTTATCGTCCCATCTTTTTTTTGACTAAAACTTATAGTCCCATCTTGTATTGCAGAAAGTTAAAAAATACCATGTGGTAGTTATACCTTTTTATTCACTGTTTATCCCAACCATCCATATTTAATTCTATAAAATCACTAAAATGTCCAGTTAATCATTTCAGCAATCCTACTAATCATTATAGTAAGTAATCAACTCGTATAATTAAATCGTTAAACTTAACAAACAACACTTATATGCATGCCTACTACATTCCCCCTATTATTCGAAGCACATGAAATGGTCCTGATAAAGACATAAGGGTAAGGTAAGTAGTGTGAACACTGAACAAACAAAAAAAGAAAAAAAAAATCCACTTTAAGTATGACTGCTAAATTAATCAACATGGCTTATATAAATTTAATTTTAAAAAAGAAAGATGAATTAACGAATAAACCTCATTTATATTCCTTTACACCACCTCTCTTCATTATTATTTGTTCTTCTCTCCCAAATCAATCCTCTCTATCTCTCTCTTCAATCCCGCGTTTTCTCACTGGTATCTCACTTCCTCTGTTTCTCTCTCTATATGAATATTTCTGTATCTATCTGTATATTTTTGACAAAAGAAAGAAAATCTTGATAAGTTTTCAAGAAGCTGAGAAGAACACTTTATGTATCATCATCATCATCTAGTTTCTTGGTCTCTCTGTCACTCAGACTACTGGTTTTGATTATGATGTTTCTGTGATATTCTTGGTTTAGATTCTTGATGAAAAGACCAAAAAGATTAAGAAGTTTATGCAGAGTTACGTGATGTTTGAAGTTATCGCAAGTCTTCTAATGATGTTTAGTTATTGCAGATCAAAAATCTGATTTCATGTTAATGGAGAGTTTAATGATGGAAGAGGAGAAGCAACTAGATTTCAACCGTCCTCTTATATCCATTAGACGGCCTATACATCAAACTTCAGAACCCAATAGCAAAACAAGATCTTCTGCTTCAGTAACCAACAAGATCCCTCCTACTCCACCGGTTTACAAGTCTGATATCAACTCAGGTCCTGTGAGGAATCCAGGAACTGTCCCTTTTCAATGGGAACACAAGCCTGGTAAGCCAAAAGACGAGAGGAAGCCTGAGTTACAAAGTGTTGTTCAGCAACATTTTGTGCCAAAACTTCCTCCTGGGAGGGTTGTGAAAGCTAGAGAACGAGAAGACTTAGTGAGGAAGCCTGAGACTAGAGTTGATCATGTGGAGGATGCAAAGAGTTGTAGTTCTTGGTATGATGATGATAGTGATGGTACTTATCTTGATGCAGCTGATACACTTTCAAGATCCGAGTCATTTTTCTTCAACTGTAGTAATGTTAGTGGCTTGAGTGGTTTGGATGGTCAGGGGATGCTATTTGGAGCCTTATCTAGTGACCGACAAACTCAGGATCTAATGATGGGGAGATTCTTGCCTGCTGCCAAAGCCTTGACTTCAGAGACACCTCCAAATCTTGCCAAGAAACCCCCTAAACCAGAGGAACCGGCCAAGGTAGTGGTGGTTAAGGAGAAACAGAACAAAGCTGAGGAAAATCCATACCGGTTTCATCATTCTCCTGATCAAGAAGAGGAAGATGGAGACGTGAGCAGCATGATGGGTTCTGGTGTTTGTGGACTACTCCCTCAGATTTGCTTGAGAAGCTCTTTTGGAGTGTTGAATCCGGTTCCGTCTGTGAGAATGCAGGCACAGAGAGGTGTTTCTGTTCGCCGTATGCGTTCCAAGTATCAAGATTCTACTACTAAACCTTGTAATGAGAATCATAATGTGAAGCTAAATGGATCAGTTGCACAAGGTGAGCCATTATCAGCATCTTCTGTACCAGAAGGGAAAGAGAGAGTAGAGAAGTTCAGCACAGCTTCACGCACTAAGATCAGGAAGAACTTTGGTGAGCTCTTGGCTAGTGATGACAATACATGGGAACCTTCTTCTGAGGCTCCTGTTGTTGAGAAAACTCTGTATGTAGACACTGTGCATTCAGTAGACAAGAAGATACAAGAAGTCTCTAATGAGCAGTCATTGTTAAAAGATTATCATTCACTAGATGTTGTTCCTGTTAAAGAAGATGTTGAGAACTTGACTGGAGCGAGTGAAGAAGCTATCTCAGGTCTAAAAGTTGAAGAATGTGCTGATCAAGCTATAGCTGAAGTAGTAGAGATTACAAAGGAGAAGATTGATGTTGAAGTCAAATTGCAGCAGGGAAACACAAGGGATCTTGAAAATTCAAGGCTTCATCATCATCATCATCATCACATTGTTGCACCACCACCATTACCAAACGCTCCTTCAGATTCCTGGTTAAAGCGAACATTGCCAACGGTCCCATCAAAGAACAACTCATTCACATGGTTGCAGTCTCTTGGCATTGATGATAATAATCAATTTACCAAGATTGGTCAAACAGATCCCAAGTGGGAAACTATGGTCAAAACCTCCAATACACAGCAAGGGTTTGTGTGCTTCTCCAAGGTAAACAAATGTGTTTTATTTATTCAAAGTCAATGGTTGTCCAAATGTATTTATTTTATTGACAAGTTGAGTAGCTTACTTTGTTGACCATGTTTTTGTGTTTCAGGAGACACTCAACCCTATACCAGAGACATAACAATACCAAAGTAATTGTAAATTTCAACAATATTGGAAGGGATTAGTCAATAATGTTTTGTTTTTCTTAGTTCATCTTCCTAGATTTCTCTTTAGTCATGTGTAGACTCTGAAATAAAATGTTTCCTAATAAAGAGAAAAGCAATGGATATGAAATAAAAGGTCTCAAAATATTGTCTGTCACTTGTGGGGTGAGGGGTGTCTTATAGAAGTGATGTACAGCTATGTTAACAGAGATTTGTTGCAATAATACTCCATAATTCCACGTGACTCTCTTTCTTTTGCCCTTCTTTATATATTATCTACTACTAGTAGTAGTAGACTTTTGTTTTTTTTTCTTTTGTAATTATGTTTCTGAAATGTTCACTTGAAAAGAAGATGGTTATAAGAGGAATTATTGGAACAATTAATGGTGTGAGAAATCAAGTATTATACTCTTTATAGTGTCATGGAAGATCAAGTATGTTTCAGGAGAAAATAAAGAAAGAAAAAATAACTTTATAAAGATATCTTCATCACTTAAGATTGACACGAAAAAAGCTGCTTTAGGAGATGTTTTGTTGATTTCACGATTCTTCTATCTTTATCACTAGTATCCATGGCGATTTTTTTCTTGCTCCAGAAACAAGAAAGAGGGTTCTTGTAGCTGTGGTGGTGGAGGGCTGCTTTTACTATTACACAAATGAGATATCTCTTGGTCCTTGACTCCTTGGTGAGTTTCCTGGTAATGATTTTGGTTTAGGTCTTCACGGATTGTGACTCATTTACTTAAGCAACATTTCTATATATAGTTACTTTACGCACACATAGAACAGTGCAAAACTTTATACATAAAATATCAAGTACATTCAGAATTTAACATATATGCGATCTTTTTTCTGTAAATTATTTGTTCAAAATTTTCAAAATCTACAAATGAGTCGCAAAACAAAATATTCCAAGACATGGACTGCGATCGTCCATGTGCTACGTCCAGGGCCCTTATCATAATAAGACTTTTAAACGTCTTTCATATTGAACTAAATGTTAAAATACGTTGAAAGCGTAGCTATCTTGCTCATGTAAACGGAAATTAGACGACATCAAAGACAATTGTAGATTTTGATCGTACACGAAACCTAGTTTGAGTTTGTATGTATCAAATTAAAGTGTAACATAACAACAAGTTGAAAAATAGTAAATGTTCACTTGGAACAAATGCAGGACATATATGTATGAAATTATAAGTAAGCATGCCCATTAGGAGATTTAAAGGGAGGTTCACACGTTTTTCGAGAGGAATAACTCGGCGCGCGTGGGTTCGTTGTGGTGAACCGGTTCGTCACGGATTCACCACGTGGCGGGCTGTGATTCGCCAATTTTTTTTTAAAAAGAAAAAAAAAATTTCAACTGGCAAACCCTACCTCAGTATCACTAATGGGGATGCCCTAACAAAGGAATTTACCAAAAGAGGTTCCACAAAAAAGGCTAAGCCAAAAGCCTATTTACCCGCTCATGGTCATGTCTACATTATTTCGAATGTATCCAACTACTTTTCTCCCTCTAATGTTTTCCATAAGAAGTTGATCTTTCGCAGTTTACTAATATTCAACAAAACATGGTATATTTTTATAGAAAATTGATTTTGTCTTGTATAGTTGTATGACAAATAATTTGACATTGCTAGGTCAGAAAGCGGGAAATACAAAAAAAATGTGACGATGCTGTTCTCCAAATCCAGTAAAAGAAAACAGAATTTTCAAATCTAAACATATGCAAATGGTATGAATTGTTACCCAAAATACGAAAACATGTTATGTCCTTCATCTAAAGAAAAACATTTACTTTCTGTTGTTACTATATTACAATTTGCCACTGATTAACCGCTCGTAACATGTTTTTATGATTCTGTAACATTTAATTGCAATGTAATCAGACTTTTCCAGCTCACTCTTAAGAAACTAATGAGGTGCGTAAAACTACTAGACTAGCATTCTAATTGGAGCGTTTCTTTTACATGCTCAATTCACGCGTGGGTCAACCTTTTTAAACATACTAAACTCGTTGTTGTTACCCAAAACATGAAAAAAATGTTACTATGTCCTTACTAGGCACTATATAGTAATTAATTAATTAATCTGTGTTAGACTACCTTCTATAATTAATTGCAAGGTTATCTACTCTTCACTTCTCATCAAACTGATGAGTTGCTAAATCCCCTTCTCATTGGTGCGTTTCCCTTACGCGCTTTACTAACGCGTTGAACTATAAGTTTTTTTTTTAATTCATACAAAGAGAAAGAGGGGAAAGATAGTCTTTACTCTTCAGTGGTGGGTAGAGAGCGAAAGTTAGAGAGAGAGAGAAAGAGAAGAATAGCACATGACCTCACTATCATTGGGGCCTCAGCCTCCGGCTACTGCTCCGCCGCCGCAACCGCATCTCCGCGACGGAGATGCTTCCAGACGTCGTTCCGATATGGATACAGACAAGGTTGTTCCCCCCCTCTCTCTCTCTCTCTCTACGACTGTGTTTGGTGAACAAATTGCGTTTCGAGATTGTAGATCTAGGCTAGATCTAGCTTCGATTTCACTAGTTTTGAGGTTTCTCCAGCGAATCGATCTGTGTTACTCTTAGCGTTCCTTGATTTGAGCTCATTCATCGGACTTGGTAGTAGCTAAGCTAGCTAGTCATACTGTTCAGCTAAAGATCTTGAGCTTTGTATTGATTACTAGTAGATTTTTGAGTTAGGGTAAAAGAAAACTGGTTCTCGAGCTAGAAGACGATGTAGATCTTATTTGTTGAGATTGTTTAGCTAATTACACTTGTTATATGGCTGTAGAGATTGTATGTTTTGGATTTACATTTAGTTATAATCTGTTTGATTGAGTTTTAAGCTAGGTCTTAACTGTTCTTGGATTTGGAGATTTCATATGCTTGATAGACTAAGGAAAGAAGGATTCAACTTCTAGAATGATTTTTTTTTTTTTTTTTTTAATTGATTGTTGTCATTCTTGATTTCATGTTACAGGAGAGAGCACTGTTTTTTACCAATTTTCTTCATTCTTTTTTTGACAAGAATAGTTTAATGCATGTAGTGATAATATGTTGGGGTATGTTTGGTTGCAGGATATGTCTGCTGCTGTGATAGAGGGAAATGATCCTGTTACCGGTCATATCATTTCCACTACGATTGGAGGCAAAAACGGTGAACCTAAACAGGTTGAGTTCCCTTCTTTGTTTGAATCTTCAAATGTCCTTGCTAATGATTACGTATTTAATCATATGTTAACTTGCTTTTCCGGTTATAACTTAAAAAAATAACTAAACAGAGACTCTTTGTGGTTCATTAATTACAATTTAAGTAGGCTACTCACTTATGTTTTCCTCCTTCTGGTCTTTTCAGACCATTAGTTACATGGCGGAACGGGTTGTTGGACAAGGATCATTCGGAATTGTATTCCAGGTACCTTTGTGCTTCTCGCTCACTGTTAACCATTTGTATGCAATAGCGTTCTTCTTTCCCTTTCTGATCGGATTTTTAACTTACCATTCTAGGCCAAGTGCTTGGAAACTGGAGAATCAGTAGCTATTAAGAAGGTTTTGCAAGACCGGCGCTACAAGAATCGTGAGCTGCAATTGATGCGATTAATGGACCATCCAAATGTGGTTTCCTTGAAGCATTGTTTCTTCTCTACAACGAGTAGAGATGAGCTCTTCCTCAATCTCGTTATGGAGTATGTACCCGAGACTTTGTACCGGGTTTTGAAGCACTATACTAGTTCAAGCCAGAGAATGCCTATTTTCTATGTCAAACTTTACACATACCAAGTATGCATTGTTATTAATCTGTTTCCCCTTCAAGCCGTCTTGCTTTTTGTTGATTCTAAAACGGGTAAGAATACTTTTTTTTTCTGCAGATCTTCAGAGGCTTGGCTTATATCCATACTGTTCCTGGTGTCTGTCACAGAGATGTGAAACCGCAAAATCTTTTGGTAAGTTGATATTATTTAGAGTTTTTCGTTGGTAATCTTGACTGGATTATAATCTAAATCTCTGGTACGTTCTGTAGGTTGATCCCCTCACTCATCAGTGTAAGCTGTGTGATTTTGGAAGTGCAAAAGTATTGGTAAGGGGTTTTACCTTATATATGCTGTTTTGTTTATTTTCAACTGTTTGTGTAATATCTCATGAAATCAATTGGATACCTCTCTGTTGTCATGACCGTTGCAACACTTGATTATTCGCGGTAGGTGAAAGGTGAAGCAAACATATCGTACATCTGCTCACGGTATTACCGAGCTCCAGAGCTGATCTTTGGGGCGACGGAGTATACATCCTCCATAGACATATGGTCTGCTGGTTGTGTTCTGGCAGAGCTCCTTCTTGGCCAGGTTAGTGAACTATTTATCTGTTTAAGAATCTCTCCAGAATCTTTCGTAATCATTTTTAAATATTTTTCTTTAATTTTCAGCCCTTATTCCCGGGAGAAAATTCTGTGGACCAGCTAGTGGAGATCATCAAGGTGAAGTTTCATTTTGATTACTGTTTGGTATATAGATTCCTATTATCTAATGGATTTGTGATGATATATGTGCTGCGTTTGTTTAGGTTCTTGGTACTCCAACTCGAGAAGAAATCCGTTGCATGAATCCAAACTACACAGACTTCAGATTCCCGCAAATCAAAGCTCACCCGTGGCATAAGGTATTTATACGCATGTCACTTTCTAACATTTCTGATCATACAATCGCGTAATAGTTGACTCGCTACCTATTATATTTGTATAAAAGAGTATTCAAACTGATACACAAACTGCTCCATTCTCCAGGTTTTCCATAAGAGGATGCCTCCAGAGGCCATTGACCTCGCATCTCGGCTTCTTCAGTATTCACCGAGCCTGCGTTACACTGCGGTCAGTATCTCTAAACCACCAAGTACCCTTAATTGCTAGTGTGGATTCTCTCTGAATTCTTTGGACCTGCACTGTTCAGTGATGCTGAGTTTTTTTGTTTGTTTCTGTGTGTAAAAGCTTGAAGCATGTGCACATCCATTTTTCAATGAACTCCGTGAGCCCAATGCTCGTCTTCCAAACGGCCGACCTCTACCACCTTTGTTCAACTTCAAACAAGAGGTACATTAATAACAGCTCCAATATTCACCTTAACCGTCATAACTAAGTGTTAAGTTTAAAACAGTTACCTAATCTGTGATATCTCTCTCTCTATTTGAATGTTACAAAACAGTTAGCAGGGGCTTCACCAGAGCTTATAAACAGGCTCATACCTGAGCACGTAAGGCGACAGATGAGTGGAGGCTTTCCAGTACAAGCTGGCCATTAGAAAAAAAATATCGAAACTGAGACACATGATGAAAAAGAGGAGAGAGGATTTTACTTATCTCTGATTTTCAGAAGGTTTAACTAAAACATGTCTTATAATTCTCTATCTCTTTTCATGTTATAATTCGCTTTTGACTTGTAGAGATTTTACTCGTTGTATTATTTGTATATGTTTTTGTCCGTAAGACAGCAAACCGCGATGATGGATGAATTATATAATGAATGTTTAAAACTTAAGCCTATTAAAAAGGTCGGACCTTATACAAACATTGGACTGTTAGATTGCCAATGTTGAATAACCTAAAAGGCTAAAACATTTGAAATCAGGCTTGAGAATGAGAATTAAACAGGATGATTGAGTGAGAAAGCAAGTTTTTGGAAAGTGTAGTTTAGTTTTTTTTTCCTAAATCTGGGAAGTAACAAAAAGAGCAAATGAAAAATATGTTGGTTGCAATAAAACATTTGCTTCTGTAATGATGTTGTAGAGGCTAGGGCTGGGAAAAAAAAACCGAACCCGAAAATCCGAACCGAATCCGACCCGATAAAAAGGAACCCGAACCGATCCGAACCCGACATAAGTACCGAATGGATCTTGTTTTACGGTATTTTGGGTTATGGATATTACCCGAACCGAACCCGAACTTAAATGGATATCCGAAAGAACCCGAAACTTTAAAATTCCAAAAAAACTTGTATCATATCCAATCTAAATTTCTAATATGTTTCCAAAACATATTAATATATTATTGAGTACCTACAATAATTAGTTATGATATAAATAATTAACTCAAATATTTAGTCTAATATATAGTGTTATTTGGTTAATATTAATGTTTATGATTGACATTACATTTGAAGTTAAGTTACGAATAAATTTGTTTTGAAGTTTATATAATGTTGTTTTTAAAAGTTTAAATAGCACTTCTTATATTTATAGAATTGTTAGTTGTTAACTTTAATTTTTTATGTTTCATTATGTATTATATTTCGTTCATACAAGGCTTTGGTTTGTCATTAATCATGATATGTTTAGTGTTGTCACATATAGTTCATTGACAAATCTTATATGGTTGATAGATGAGTTTCACAATATTATTTTGAAAGAGAACAATATGGTTTGTAGAAGTTAAATACACAAATTTAATAAAATGATTGAAAATATAGTGAGTTTAANCCGAAACCGAAACTATTTCGGGTTCAACCGGATCTTGGACATGTTACTAAACCCGAACCGAACCCGACTAAACCCGAACCGAATCCGACCCGAATTTTTATAATATCCGAATGGGGCTGAAATTCATGAACCCGAAAACCCGAAACCCGAATGAACCCGAACCGAAACCCGATTGGGACCCCGATTGCCCAGCCCTAGTAGAGGCATTTGAATGTTAGCTTTAAAGCATGTGAGCATATTGATTTAATTATGTGTTCGATTTGGTTTATTTGGGTTTAGGAAAATATTAACCAAAGTCAATCCAAAGGAATATGGTTTGATTTGGTTTTATTTTGGTTTGGTTTGGTTTGGTTTATGTACAGTTCGGTTAGTTTGGTTTTATCTGTTTTTGTTCAGTTGAAATGATTTTGGATTCTTTAAATTTATAAGAATTTTGGGTTCTTTGAACCCTATTAACTGAGCCACAAGCAAAAAGGGTAGGACCAAACCCTAATCTTCCTTTTTCTCCTCATTCAAGTGTTTTTATTATTCACAATATATGATAATAGAGGTTTGTCAATAAATAATGGATAACTACTGACTGAGATTGTCCGATTTTTTTGTTCAGGTTCTCTACTAACATACTAAATTGGCTTTCTCTCATACTTTTTCATTTATTTTTCATTTAATTTTATTTTGAAAATCTACTTGAGAATCCACCGTTGGAAGTACTCTATATACTATTATATGATACTTCTGATTTAAAAAAAAAAAAAAATATTCAGACATATTAAAGTATACATGTCTATAATTTAATTTATTATTTATTTATTATGCATTTTTAATTATTATCAACCAATGACATTTAACTAATTAATTTTTTATTTTTTAAAAATATATAGTTTATAACATCAATTATCAACAATACCTCAAAAATATAGAAAAGTTATCTTTGTAATAGATTGTTAGAAACAAATGTTCACTTGTTTCTTTTTGTTTGTTTTCGGAAGTTCACACTGAGGTGAAACAACTATCCCTAATCTGTAAGTCTTTCAACTCTCTTTGCCCTTGGATCCTTATAGTGATGACTACCCTAGAGAGAGTTTGTTTGAGGTTATTGCAAAGATATATTCCTTTTTCTGTTGTGATGTTCTTCTGCTATATTTGTGTGCAATTTTACCTTTGTCATGTACAGAATATATTTGTTTTTTCTCTCTAAATTAGATTAGCAAAAACAGAATATAGAAGAAAAAAACATAGCCAAATGTTTAACTTAGATGCAATCCAAACAATCCTAGCTCGGTAACAGAAGGATAACCATCTTTACACCAAGATGAGATTTGGTAACAATGAAAAGAAAACTGAGCAAGACAAACAAAAGATTGTATAAAAGAAGAAGGAAAAAAGCACAAGTTTATAATGAAGCAGAAGGATAGTTGTGGGTATCACACAACAACATCTAGAGATTTGGTATAGAGAAACTTCATCCCGGTCAAAAGATGATTGCACCACTCAACTTTACCCCAAATCTCACCTCCTTGAGATCTTTCCAACGAAATCTCCGCACACCAGAGTTCACTTCTTCTTCCGATTTTTCCTTTATGAAAAAACAAAGCGAGTTTCCCACAGTAACTCTCAGTCTGTGACCACAGTGAACTTGCTGTCTCCACCGACAATGCCTCCAAACCTTTCACCACTAGCCAACACCTCTTCTTACTATCATACGCTCTTAACTCTTTCTTACAACATTCATAATAGTACAATACATCATCAACGACGCACGAAAACCACCACCCCTGAGAGTTCAGAACGCCGTCTGTTTCCCATTTCCTCTCCTTTGGCTCGTAAAAATAGCTGTTAGCAAATCCTTTCGTATACATCTTATCACCCGATATCACCACACTTCCATGATAAAACTCACCTGCCTCTATCTCAAACGTTTTCATCTCATTCTCCCACATTTGTGTCTCTGTGTTGAACACCAACACAATCACCTTGTCCTTGTTCACTTCCCCCCGGGGACATCCAATAACGTAAATTCTCCCGTCGATGACGTTAGCGACTGAGTGAGATTGCAAAAAGGGCGCAGGCATGCTAGGGAGAGGTTGCACGGTGTGAGATTCACAGTCAATTCTTAGTGTCGTAACATCTGTAAACACATATATACTCGATCCCTCTGCGACAAAGCTTGATGAAATATACGGTATAAAAGGAAGCGACGGGACAACAGGGAACAAGCCGTGACTGCCGTTGGTTTTGCGGCGGAGAATATACAAACGGTTACCATTGGATTTTGCGTCGTTGAGGACAACATAGAGGCAGTGCTCCTTGCATCCCAACAAGGATCGTCTTGCGTATAACTCAGGTGACGCGACGAGTGAGCGGAAATGCTTGGAAACGAGGGAGAGCGCTGGATAGTCGGATCTAGAGACACGAGCTACGATGTTAAGGACGAGGTCATGGGGAAGTGTCGCAGTCAGAGACGGTGGTTGGAACGACTGCTTCTCTTTTTCGGATCTAGAGACACGAGCTACGATGTTAAGGACGAGGTCAATTATAAAACAAAATAAAAACGTTTTTAATAATTATTAAAAACAATAAAAACGTTTTTAATAATTATTAAAAACAATAAAAACGTTTTTAGTGATTATAAAAAACAATAAAAACGTTTTAATAATTATAAAAAACAATAAAAACGTTTTTAATAATTATAAAACAAAATAAAAACGTTTTTAATAATTATTAAAACAATAAAAACGTTTTTAATAATTATTAAAAACAATAAAAACGTTTTTAATGATTATAAAAAACAATAAAAACGTTTTTAATAATTATTAAAAACAATAAAAACGTTTTTAATAATTATAAAAAACAATAAAAAATCAAAAATCTAAACATGCAAATCAAAAATCTAACAAATCCTAAACTATCCATTCAATCCTA